TAAAAGTTAGATGAAACTAGATGAGGGAAACAAATGGAAGATTTAATTTAATGTATGTTTTAATTTATTCAAGAGTCAGAGAGAGAATGAGAGAGAGAGCACTCCCATCCATTGGTTCACTCCTCAAATACCTTCAATGGCCAGGCCTGGTTTGTTCTGAAGCTGGGAGCCAGGAACCCAATCCAGGTCTCACACATGGGTTGCAAGGACCCAACTATTTGGATCATCACATGTTGCCTCTCACAGTCTGCCTTAGAAGGAATCAAACCCAGATACTCCAGTGTGGGACATAGATAACTTCATGGCTAAGCAAAATGCCTGCCACAAGATTCTATTTAGAATTGGACCAAATTGAGGGAAATGAGTGTTGTCATCCTCAAAAATCTTTCTTCTGAGGGCAGCCATTCAGCCGAGTGGTTAAGAAACCCATATCTCACACTAGAGTAACTGGGTTTGGTTCCTGACACTAGCTTCCTGCAAATGCAGACCAGCAGAGACAGCAACGATGAGTCAGGCAATGGCGTTCTTGCCACCCTCATGGGAGACCTGGATTGAGTTCCCAGCGTTGGCCTTGCCTAGCGCCAGCTGTTGTGTACATTTGGGGAGTGAAGAAGCAGATGGATGCTCTCTCTTGCTTTCTTTCTCTTCCTATTCTCTGCCTTTCAAATAAACAGATTTTTAAAGAAATAAACTTTATTGCTAGTAGATAAATTATTGATGTGCAAATATACAAACTGAGAGAGAAAGAATGGAAGACACACAGAGAGAGAGAGGGGTAGATGGAAATTTTGTATCACCAGAATGTTAATTGAGATTAACTTTGGAAGAACAGATTCACATGTTTTTGTTTTAATTTTACTTTTGTTTATCTGCATTTTTCTGGATGTTTTGTAATGAACATTCACAATACTATCGCATTAGTATTGTAAGAATTTTTTTCTAAGACAAAAGAAAAAGAAAGGAAGGAAAAGAGGAAGGCAGGGAGGGAGGGAGGAGGAAGATGCACACACTTGGGAATGGCGCTGTGTTGGTTTAGACCCCGCAGTCCATCCTGGTGCGCATTTTGCCAACCTGCTCTAGAGCACGATGGGTTTCCAGGCTTTGTGTGTGAGATGCGGAGGCCAGGAGCATCCTCAAGAAGAGAAGAACAGAGGGAAACCATCTGGACATGGAGAATCTCCTCTACCAGAGGATTTACCCAACAGTGCAAGCCCTTTGTTTCAAGTTTCAATTATAGCCACAGCAATATTGCAAACCTGATGAAAGCATCGTTTAGGTCAACTTCAAAGCCAAGCTGGGATGTAGGCTCTGTCAGGGGAGAGCCAGCCACACCTCCACCTCCACCTCCTCACTGGGACCCACCCAGGGCTAGGACTACAAACAGGCCCAGCTCACACTGGTCTCCAGGGGATGTGAGTGATGGACTCAAGATGGGAAGACTTCAAACACAGCCCTTTGCTTTTCTCTCCTCCTCTTCCACCCCTTGTTTAGTTCCTTGTATCTGTTTACCCTGTAGAGAAATCCTCCAACCCACTTCCCCCCCACCTCCCTTCCTGTCCCTCTCCTTTCCCAGAACCTAGAATGCAAAGCTCCTAAAATCGGGAGCTTCCTGGCTGTGAGGACACAGGGCTGTGATGCTGAGTCCCTCGTTCATTGCTGTCGCACACTTGGTGTCTCTTGGGTTTTGGTTCCTGGCTAAGGGCAGACCCAGAGCCAGCTTCTCAGTAGAGTGATCACAGAATCATTTAGGTTCAATAAGAATCCTTTTAGCTTTATTTTTAAGATTATTTCAAGGATCCCTAAGGGCCTTCACATTTTTCTTGAGAAGAAAAATTCATTTATTTTAATATTTTAGATGTGGGTAAGCCTGAAGTGATACCAAACAGGTCAGATTAAAGTAGCATTATAATTACCACGCTGCAATTTAAATTCTGGGCCTCAGAGGCCAAATTTCATAAAGGGCACTTCCTTTGTCTACTAAAAACAGTAATTAGCAAGTGCGTACAGGGCATTTTTATATAATCTTAGGTGAACCTCTCTAGAACTCCGTGAAAGCAACAGGACAAGTATGGGAAACAGACGGGGGAAGTCATGTTGCCTGTGGAAGAAGGTGTTAGCTGGGAAAGAACGGAGGCAGCTGTTTGGCCCAAGTCTGGGATTTTCTCCCACACCCACCACAAGGCAGCTCCAGTCCCAAAGAGAAAGAAGTCCTTTGCCTGGAATTTGCCTCCCTGCCCTACCGCCACACACCAAGGTTAGACTGCCACTGGGGGAGAAGTTGGAGGATTCCTGGAATAAATTTCCAATACATTTTTTAGGTTGAATAATTATTCATTAGAAATTTTAATACATATGTCATTTTGACTAATCAACTCTTAAAAACATTTGATAACTCATTCCAGAATAATTTTTAATAGCTATAGACTTAGACACAAAGGAAATCAAGACATATTCATGAATATTTTTATTGTAGAAAATTATAAGATTGTTGGTAGAAACTTTCAAGAACATCCAGATAATAGGATAAAAGCAATGGGACAAGTGAAATGGAAATGCAAGTTCAAGAAGAAAAACCAGCATTGCAAACTTTCCCACCTTTAGAGAAGAGCTTTCCCATAGACTATGTGTGGATGACAATACGTGTACACTATTGCAGTTCTGTGGATACACTTGAAAGGGTAATATAGCAGTGTTTTTATTTAATTACTTATTTACTTGAGGGAGAGAGAGAGAGAGCGCTCTCAATCTCCAGCTGAAGTCATAACTGGGAGCCAGGAACTCAATCCAGTCCTCCCATGTATGTGACAGGATCCCAACTACTTGAGCCATCAGTGCTTCCTTCCAACATCTGCATTAGCAGGAAGCTAGAATCTGGAGCCAGAGACGGGTATCAAACCTAAGCACTGATTTGGGATGCAGGCATTTTAATCAGCTAGGTCAAATGCCTACCTTAATAACATTAGTATTAAGTGCCAATGATTATAACACAATAGAAATTGCATCCTTTGCATCAGATGATATCAAACATTAAAAAAAATCTTAATGGCAATTTTTTTAAGTGTGAGGGGTACCGAGTTTTTTGACATTCTGTGAGGGAGAGCATCAACAAATATTTTGATGACCACTGAGTTAGACAACCTGTATGGTCTCATCTGAGGTTGAGAAGAGCAGTAAATGGCGCATTTCAAAATAAACTTATAGGCGATAGAGATTGTGAAGGGCCTAACACAGGGAAATCACCAAACTGGATATTCATTGAAAACTTCATTTTAGATTACACTGAACACACTTCACGTAAAACTACAAGTGATCAGAAAACCATGGGATGGCAGAGGCGACGGGGAGGTTCAGAATAGTTTAAAAGGCAACGAGTGGATAAAATATTGAACTGTTTTGTGTTTGTGATCAACTACTTCTGACCATTCAATAAACCACTCATACAACATCTTTCTACCAAAATCACCAAACTTCTTCAATTACTTCAGCTAAGCGGTGTGAATGAACTAAAGAGAACTTCTGTGGGCTGCCTGTAAATCGCGGTAGCTCCCCTTCAGTCTGCATGCTCCCAGGAAAGGGGAGGGGAGGACTGCACGTGCTTCTCTGAATCCAGTATGGAGAGGCCCCACGGCATTCCAGTAGAAAGGGATTCCAGTAGGAGAGTCCCCATGGTATTCGTTGAGGAAGCAGGATAGGAAAAAGTAAGGAAGAAGTAAAGGCTGCACAAACAACAGCTACTACAGTAATTATGGTAGTGTTTACCAGCTACTGTGTGGTGAGAACCTTACATACATTAAGGCTGATGCAGTATGAAAGATTAGAGATGGGCAGTATCTTTCTTTTGTGAAATGGAAGAGACAGGTGTGAAAAGCAAGGCGGGAAGTAAGATTCTCCTAATGACAAAGATATTCCATAGTCAATTTCACCCTCATTTTACAGAGGAGAAAACTAGGGTTGTAGACAGGGAAAGAGCTTGCCTGAGGATAGCCTGTGTAACTGTAGAACTTAAACTAAGATCCACATTGCTGTGATTCCCAAGACCATGTCTTAACCATGCAAATACAGGAAAAGAGACCATCCTTGGCCTTTATTAACACCAACGGTGTTTAGGTATGGTGCTCCAAGAGTCGATGCCTTTTTATCCCCTTTGCCTTCCTTTGTCCTTCCCACCCATTCACTCTCCTCAGTCTTTCTCTTTTTGCTCTTCCCATTTTTCTTTGTAATGTATCAATGCCTTAAGTCTTCTAAAGGCAAGCACCAGCATTGCCTCATTTCTCCTGGGGCTAACAAGCTCTGTGCACAGTCTGTGGGCAGGATATTCAGGATTTGGACCTGTTTCTAAGGCTGCATTCCATTCTTGGACCACTTTTTTCCCACTGATGCCCACACATAATAATTATTATCAAATAATAAGACAAGTTATTCAATAATTAACACCTGGAAAGAAGCCAGCCAACTGGCATCAAAGCCAGACTCAGTGCAGTTGGGTTTCATGAGCTGGACATATAATAAAGAAAGGAAGATTTAGTCAGCACTGGAGTATTTGGGCTATAGCAGCTTAATAAAAGCTGGACAATCAGCAAACAAACAAAAAGAGGCGATAGGAAATGGAAGCAACATGGAGTAAGAATGTGGACAAGGGCAGCTAAATTGATGTGACACATGAGTTGGAGAAGGGATATAGTGGAAAAGATTATGTGGTCCACAGGCAAAGGAAGGCTTTATGTGATTAAAAACCACTGATCTTGACTGAATTGTAATAGTGTCCATGGTGACAATTAAAAGAAGCATTTGGAATGGCTCAACAATCATTCTAAAATCAATTCTATTCTAACAAGGCTGGCTATGCAAAAGAGCATGATAAGTGATGGGATTATTTTGTATGAAATCAGCAGAGAGCTCCACCCTCACAAATGTCATCTTCATTTGTCAGTTTTTCATTACTTTAAATAAAATACCCGAGAAAAGCTACTGCAGAGGGAAGAGAGTTTATTTTTGCTTACAGTTTTGGGGGCTCACAGTCCAAGATCAAATTGTTCCCTTAGTCTGGCATCTGATGGCAGAATGTGTGCAGAGGAAGGATCAGGAAGCAGAAAGGGACAGGAAGCATGCTTTCCCTTCAGATCCAAGTCTCTAGAGCCACAGTGATTGGATGCTAGGGCCCCACCCTAACAGCTGAAGCCAATCTAATCCCTTTTCAAGGCTATACCTCAGACACCATAATTCAATTAAGGTCCACCCTTAATCCATTAATGCAAGACTCTGGGAATCAAGACTTTAACACATGGGTCTTTGGGGAAGCACCCAAATGATTTTCCGAACCATAACACCATCCCCATTATCCACTGCTCAGCCACGATGCTTCAAATTCACCCCACTAGTTCCACTTCTAGATTGAGGCACTTGAGCACACGATGGCAGATTCTAGCAAGAGAGCCAATTCCTCTCTTTTCACTGACGGCAGCTACCTTCCCCTTTCCAGTTAGATTGCCCTCTCCCACCAAGCAGGCTCTTTCACAACTTTGTGCTTTGCCTGGAAGGAGGGCACACCAACCTTCCCAGGCAGCCACAGCAACCCAGGCCATCACAAGAGGGACCACATACACGCTACTCTTCGTGACATGGAGAATGCAAATTTCCTCTGAAAAGCCACATAAATTCTGAAGTTTACTATCAGTTTTGTTTTGGATTTTTGATTGTCAAAGATTGTATTTCCTCAAATTATTCTTAGGTCTCCTGGAACACCTTAGAGAATACCTAGACAACACACCTTCCATTTCAATGGAGGATTGAATGTCCTGAAAAATTACCCTCCCTGACAAGTGAATGATTCACTTCAGCTTTTTTTTAATTGAGGCAAAATTCATATAATATAAAATTAGCCACTTTAATATGAGTGATTCAGCCAGTGGCATCAAAGCCAGACTCAATGCAATTTGGTTTCATTGAAGTGGATAAAAAAATGAACAGCGTTTAGTCACTATCAGAGTACTGCAGCTGTAGTGGACTAATAAAAGTTGGACAACAGTGGTGTTTCATGCATTCACAGTGTTGTGCAACCACAACCTCTATCCAGTTCAAGGCATATTCATAGCCTCAAAAGGAAACCCTGTACCTACTAAGCATTAATTCTTGATTCGTCCCTTCTCCTAATCCCTGGCAACCATGTCTGTCCTGTTTCTGTGGATTTATTTACCCTGGTATTTAATATGAATAGGCTCAGACAATGTGTGGCTTCTTGTATCTGGCTTCTTCCAAGTAGCATAACTTTGTAATATTCATCCACCTTGTAGTACTTATCAGTAGTTCATTCTGGTACTTTGTCCAGTTAATATCCCACTACATGGATATGCCACATTTTCTTTATTTTTCTCATGGATATCTGAGTTGCTTCCACCTTCTGGTTATTGTGAATAGTGCTGCTCTGAACATGTATGTAAATATATTTGTTCAAATATCTGCTTTCAAGTCTGCAGTATCTACCTAAGAGTGGAATCATAAGGTCAAATAGTCACTCTATGTTTAACCTTTTAAGGAACTGATAGATTGTTTTCCACAGCAGCTGCACTGTTTTACATTCCCATGAACAATGTGCAAGAGTTCCAATTTCTCCATAATCTCACCAACACTTATTTCCCCTTTTTTCTTTTTCATTATAGCCATCCTAATGGATAGGAAGTGATTGTGGTTTTGATTTGCATTTCAATAATGACTAGTGATGCGAAGTATCTTTCCACATGCTAGTTGGCCATTTGTACATCATCTACAAAGAAATGTCTATTTGGGGCTGGCGCAGTGGCATAGCGGGTAAAGCTACCACCTGCAGTGCCAACATTCCATATGGGCACCAGTTCGAATCCTGGCTGCTCCACTTCTGATCCAGCTCTCCGATATGGCCTGGAAAAGCAGTAGAGGATGGCCCAAGTCCTTGGGCCCCTGCACCCATGTGGCAGACCCAGAAGAAGCTCCTGGCTCCTGGCTTCAGACTGGCGCAGCTCCAGCCACTGCAGCCAACTGGGGAGTGAACTAGTGGATGGAAGACCCCCCTTTCTCTCTCTGCCTCTGCCTCTCTATAACTCTGCCTTTCAAATAAATAAATAAATCTTTAAAACAAAAACAAACAAACAGCAGCAACAAAAAAGAAATGTTTATTCAAGCAGCTAATTCTGTGGCACAGTGGGTTAAGCTGCTTCCTATGCCATTGGCATCCCATTTTGGAGTGCCAGTTTGAGTTTCAGCTGCTCTTTCCAATCCAGCTCCCTGGTAATGCCCCCAGGAAAGCAGTGGAAGCTGGCACAAGTTCTTGGTCTCTCACATAGAGTTCCAGGCTCCCAGCTTCTGCTTGGCCTGGTCCCAGCTGTTGTAGCCATCTGGGGAGTGAACCAGTAGATGGAAGCTCTCTCTCCATTTCTCTCTCTTTCTTTTTCTCCTTGTCTCTATCACTTCGCCTTTCAAATAAATTTTTAAAAAACTTCTAATGTCTTTTCAAGTCCTTTGTCTATTTTTGAATTGTTTATTTATTTCCATATACTTGAAAGCAAAGAGACAGAAAGAGAGAATTAGAGAGTTCTTCCCTCCACTGATTTACTCCCCAAATGAGTGCAATAGCCAGGGCTGCGCCAGGCCCAAGCCAGGAGCCTGAAAATCCCTATCTCCTAAGTGAGTAACAGGGGTCCACGCATTTGAGCCATCTTCTGCTGCCTCCCAGGATGCATTGACAGGAAGCTGGATCAGAACTGGAGTGGCTAGAACTCAAACCAACACTCCAATATGGGACAAGACTATCCCAAAAGGTGGTTTCATATTCTGTGCCGTAATGACTGTCTCCACCCCTTTTTTAATTGAGTTGATTGTGAGTAATTCACTCTGAAAAGTGGTGTTTATTGCTTCATGAAGCCATCCATAGTTGATGTTTTTGAACTTTGGGGGGTTATGAGGATCAGCATCCTGACTCATTCTTGTCATATCTCTGACTCCATTTCAAGAGAAATGTTAAGAACTTTCTTTCGATGCTCTTCTCACTGTCTTAAATGCTTTTACATTTATGAGCTCATCTGATCCTGTGACAACTCTATGAAAGACATTTCATAGAAGGAAATAGTGACACACCTTGCTGTAAGACTCACAGCTAGAAAACAGAGGCACTGGCATATAAACTCAACTTGGATAGGCATCAGGATAGGCAAAGTAAAACTGGATTGAAGCAGTCCTCAGCTGAACCTTTTGTCCTGTTAAAACCCTTGCAAGATTATTTTTGTTTCAATTCGTATTCCAGAGATCCATAAAGGACAAGGACGTGAGCTGCTATGTGCAAAACTAAAAGGGGTCAAGGGAGAAGCAAGCATGCTGAGAGTTTTTTTTAAAGATTTATTTTATTTATTTTAAAAGGCAGAGTAGCAGAGAAGGAGTGGAAGAGACAGAGAGAGAGAGACAGCAAGAGAGAGAGAGAGCTTCCATCTACTGGTTCACTCCCCAAATGGCTGCAAAAGCCAGGGCTGGGCCAGACTAAAGCCAGGAGCCTGGAACTCCATCTGGGTCTCCCATGTGGGTGGCAGGGTCCCAAGTACTTGGGCCATCTTCAGCTGCTTTCCCAGGTGCATTAGTAGGGAGCTGAAAAGCAAGCAAGGGAGCCACAATTTGAACAACTCCGGTATGGGATGCTGGCATCACAGGCTGTGGCTTACCATTCTATGCCATAATGCCAGCCCCATGTTGAGAGTCTTAAATGATTATCCACACAAATAAAGAACTGACAATAAGCACCCCTAGAAGTGAAATGGACAAGTGTCAATGAAAAGATGTATGAATTTCTGCTAACAAATGGGCCCAGTGATGGGGGAGACATGCGGATAGGAGGGAAGCTCGTATAAGTGCTAAGATCAAGAGCTCACCGTGGACTGTGCATTCCCTTCATTGGGAAGATGAGTGATCAGGCTGATGGCTCATGGATGCATCACCAGATGTAAACTTAATGAAAACCAGGATACCCAAGTGCTCTCCAGGGAATTTGTTTCAAAAGCAAAAGCTCAGTGGTCTAGTCTACATTTTCACACAGAAGTCATTCTCATTACACCAAATAAGCTTTTGTTGCTAACCAGTTCATTAAGTATAGGATGTGCCAAAACTTCTTCCTCTGAAAGCATATTAAGAGCTCTTGATGATGTTATTGGCTAAAAGAAACCTGAAAACGTGAATATGATTTAACGTAAGTGGGCCCTGAACATGATCCACTCACACTATGTCCCTCCAAAGCCTTCATTTCACTCTCCACTCCCATCCCTTTGTTTACTTCTTTTAATTCATTTTCCCCACAAGAAATTACCTATAAACTACAGCCAGAATTGATATGTAAGGAAGCTATTCAAAACTGGAGAGCTAATTGCCAGAAAAAAATAGACTCTTGGAAATAAAATTGACTTAGAAGGGCCGGCCAGTTCTCACAGTGGTTAAGACTTTGCTTGGGATGCTTGCATCCTATATTGGAGTGCCTGTTTTTGAGTCCTGTATCTGCCTCCTATCTAGCTTCCTGTTAATGGACATCCTGAAAAGCAGCAGATGGTGGTTCAAGTACTTGAGTCCTTGGCAGTCACTTACTTGGGAAACCTGGATTGAGTTCTAGGGACCTGGCCTATCTCTGGCTATTTTGGGGGAGTAAACCAGCAGGTGAAAGGTCTCTCTCTCTGTGTCTCTCTCTCTCTCTCTCTCTCTCTCTCTGTCTCTCTGGCTTTGAAACAAATGAAAATAAATTAGAAACAATTTTAAGTGATTTACAACAGGGAGCAGTCAACAAATTATAAGAGGGAGAGCAAACTGCCCGGGGGACTGGTTTGATTCTGTGATGCACCTCTGGTATTCAATGGGCTTTGTCAATAGGCAAATCACATACTGTATGGATATTAATCACTTCAACTGTCAGTAGATATAAAATATGTCGATGTTTGACCAAGCTAAATATGAGAGGCAGTTTGGAAATTCACCTGTGGAAATTATATCCTGTGCAAAAGCAGCTCAGAAAAGGCGCTTGAGATCAGGGAAGCTTTTCCTTGCACGCAATGAAATTACTTATTCCTCCGCTGGTTGTCTTATCAAAGAATGCTCT